TGTTTCTCTTCCCTTCCCCCAGACTTACACATACATTCTTCAGTTCTTGTCTTCTGTGTTCATTTCCATCAACCTTTCTTGTAAGGCCTGACCTAAAAACAGCACTTAGAATGCCCAATACTGACTATCTCTTACGAGTACCATGTAGATTAAGATTACTTATGGGGAGTTACAGTGGTAGTTACAACAGTGCAGTTAGGCGTGGTCGCAATTGGTTAACACCTTGTAGGGTGGAAGCAGAAATTCGTTTCCTTTCCCTTTCTCACTCCTCTCCCCACCTCCCCCTTCTGTTGATTGATTCTGACTTGCAGATGTCTCATGGGTTTTTTAAACAGGAGGAAAGTACCCAGGAAATAGACTACTGCTCACAAGCATCGAATACAAGAACACATGAAAAAAGTCTAATTAAAACCCAGTTTCCTGACCACGTGTTCGTGTTCTCTGTAAAAATAACCCCGAGTCATTATGAGAGCTAGTTCACTCACACCAAAAGCAGGTCAGTGTGGCTTTGGATTCAGTTCAAGACTATCAGACCTGATGCCTCCCATTGGTGGGTTCTGTTTCTCCACCTTTCACTTCTTAGATTTTCTGATTCTACCTAGACCATGCGCAGCCAGAGAGAATTATAACAAGTCCCGAAACTGTTTCTGCCCATTCTCCATACCTAAGGAGTCAAAGATCTAATGGGCCCCCGCCAGCCAGTGACTCACTCGTGATGGGCAGAGAGAGGCAGGGCCCAGCGGCCCCTGCTGCAGGACACGCAGATCCAGAAACAGCTGCTGGGCTGTCCTGTTCCTGTTCGGGGTATGTGTTTGACAGTTCCTTGTTGGATGAATGAGCCGGCGACATATGGGTGGCACAGAGAGGCTGCGATGGCAGCGTGTAAATGTTTTGAGGAAGCTGAAACTGTAAGGAGATGCAACCGCCTGGGAGCAAGAGGTTAGCAACCCGACGGAGATGTGAGACAGGAGGCAGAACTGCTACGAAGTCAGAGAAGTTAGGCACCCCTGAGATGTCCTCCCTGACAGCTTCCCAATTCATGGCTCCCAATGGCATCTCGGAGCTCTGCACAGGGACAGGGCGCTTCCGAAGGAAGGACGGTGTGTCCGAGCACACAGTGCACTTGCAATTCCACCTCACTGCACGGCTTCTCTGCAGCGAGGCCCTCTCTTCCAAGGGCCTTGAGGTAGAGCTCACTTAGCAGAACAGACTGTTGACAGTGCCACCTGTCTCAAAGCCCTGAGTCCCTGCTGTGCCAGCCAAGGGCATTTACTTAATGCCATTATTAGTTACAAAGGAGAGACTCATGAAATTGCTCACAATAGCGGACACTCAACAAGGTGGTGCAATAGCTTGCTCACGTCGGTGCTTCCACTGCACAATCCCCGGGCCTGGTGCAGGGTCACAGACTTACTTACCAGAACAGGCAGAACACGCAGAAATGTAAACTAGACCAGATGTGGGGGGAATGAGGTTGCTATTTTATTTTTCCCATTTTTGGAGAGTCATGGTAGGTGGCTGTTGTCTACAATAACAGAAAACCCAACGCAGTGGCTTAAACAATGTCTGATATGGGGCCAGCAGATGGCACAGTGATTACATTGCTGCACTCCTACACAGCTGACAGTGGTTCGAGTCCTAGACCTGGTGGCTTGAAAGTCATGCCAGTGTATCTGTGTGCCTGCCCAAGATACCTGGAGAATGGAGATGGGATTGTGGCGTGGCCATCTCTCCTTGGGGGAGATTTCTCACTTTCCTTCTCACTGCCTTTGTCTCTTTATCTTCCACTGGTGAGCTCATAAGCTCTAAGGCAAAAGCCTCTTAAAAAACAGTAATAGAAAGTCAGATGTTCTATGTGTTAGCTCACTTCTCCTGGATTCCCCATTGTGCTACGCACCAAGTTGGCTTCACCCTAGCTGGTTTCCCTCATGGCTGTGGCACAGCTATGGGGCTTCAGGCATCCTAGTCCATGTGTAGTTTGGAAATCTCTTTCTCAGTCATGGAGTAAGACTCTTCCCTGTGGCCTGCCTGGGCCAACCATGTCACTTGTCCACAGCTGCACCGTAACCACAGCACCACAGAAACCTCACATCCTGAAAGTTTGAGCCTGAGTTCTCCAACTGCTCACCATGAAGGGGCATGGGGCCAGCACTGGTGTTGACCCATCAGACCCAGGAGCAGAGATGAGGTCAGCTTCTCCTGAGCTGTGTGGGTAGCTGGTGAGGACAGAGGCAGGGTAAGCAGAGAATACGGAACCATGTATACCCAGAACTGTCTGGAAGTGGGTGTGGATGTGGAACAAGAGCACTCACTGACGCTGGTATGGAGTGGGGCTGTCTGACAACTCTGCCCTGATGGTGCAACATAGATAGTACTGCCCAGTGTGGCCGCCACCGGTCACACGCAGCTTAGGGCACTTGAAATGTGGCTAGTGTGACTGAGACACGGAATTTCTCATTTCACCTTAAGTACCTGAGTTTAAGTAACTACAGGGCTAGGGCGTGCTGCATACCCGAGAATACCTGCCTCACGCTGAGAAAGAACGGCATGCGCTGTGCCTACATTTCGTGCTACCACTTCTCAGCAGATGGTGGCCATGGGGCAGGGGGAGGCAGTGTATTTCCATCATTTGTTGCTATGTAACAAATTGACCTAGAACCGAATGGCTTAACATAATAACCGTTCTCTTTATTTGCACTCCTTGATGTGTTCGGGCCCAGTGGGGTGGTTTTTCTGTTGGTCCATGGTGGTTGATCACAATGCTGCACTCAGCTGGCAGGACATGGGGATACCGGGATGATGGGGACCCTCCCCCCATGTAGCTTTAGCTGCTCTGTCAATGCACGACCTATCCAGAGTGATCACTGGAGTTCTAACGACTGCTCAGGGCTCACGAGGGACACAAAGCTGCGGCCCAGACATGGCCCAGGATGCTGGGCACCTCTCAGTCAAAGCAGGTCACAGGCCCAGCTCTGAGCAACCATGATCTGTGAGAATATAAAAGCTTATACCAAGAGCAGCCTCAAGTCCCCCTGTTGCTGAAGTACTCACCTTTCATCTTTGTTTTAGTGGATCATTTTCTTCCATGAGCTAGACAGTGAAGGTGTCTGCACAACTCACCCCAGCCTTGGCCCGCCCCAGAGCAGGGCATGTTTGCGTGGTGTTTGGGGAGGTCTCTGGATGTGAACCCAGAACCTTTCCAAATGGGTTGGCCCGTCACATTCCTGC